CTGGCTACCCCATGGCTGCACCAGGACTGCTCTGCCGCCGTTCAAAGTGCCCGTGAATTGAGTATCTGTTATTCGCTTAAACACAAGGGGTAGATTTTACACACTAATTTATCCTGATAGTTGAAGTGCAGCCGGATTTTTATCAGTAGGAACAATAAGAAAATTTAATTTAAACCATAAAAACCTCAGACAATCACGGCATCTTGAGAAGTCTGCGTCGTCTGGGGGCAGAGCTGCACGTCGCTCTGCTGCACACGCTGAGAGCAACACAAAGGACATGGCGCCATTAGAACAGAGTTAATTCCATGAAAATATATAGTTATGGAGGGGACCAAGGTCAGAATATAATTAGGATATGCCTTTATTTTATTGATGCATTTTCCACTCAAGGTTCTTTAATTTTCACCATTATGTCAAACATAGAAAGAATTGAGAGAAAAAAATAAAACATAATTGTACCATGATTTCTCATTAACTATTGGACAAATGCCAAAGCCTCCCTACTAAAAACAGAAATGAAGAGGGTAATTTTCTTAGCAAGCAACTTAGTTTCTAAGAACGAGACCCATTAATACACACCATAAAAATTCCAACTTCAACTTGCCAATCACACAAGTAACGACCAAAAGAGATCTCTCCTCTGCCGAGGCCACACCCAGGGAAGGTGGACCGACTGGTCAGGTTCTTAAAATGACACCTGGTAACTGACAAGGTAAACTTAGAAATTACAATGTTTCAAAGGGCGGGGTATAAAAAGATACCAGGAGAGTAAGATAGAATACAGGGTAAACTTTTAAATTTCAGTAACTCTTAGCAGAAGTATGAAGGGAACAAAACACCAAGAGTGCTAATTGGATCTACAGAGACATTCTGTACTATCTAAATTTCACTGACCTTCCCATCAAGGATGTAGAGTTTTAGAGCATTATTACAGCATTTAAGTAAATATTAGAAGTCTGAAAATTTTCCAATTTTAAAAACCTCAAGGGAGGTGTTCCCTTCCTTCCTTAGTTGAAGCACCTTTACTATCTGAAAGGCTTACAATGAACACTGAGTTACTTTGTTTATAACCCAACATATTGGCATAATGTGTTTACTGTACTCAATTTATTCAAGGATAAAGAAACCACATCAGCTACCATGAGGACTAACGGCATTGCTTCTCCAGGCAGTAGTAAAAACACAATGAAAACCTCGACTTTTACAGTACTACTTTTAAGAACCAAAAATAAACTCTTTCCCAAATGTTGAAAGTACTCTCCAAGTTAATCATCCAAAACACTTTCCACCCTCCTACATCCCTCTTACTTTGGCCTGCCTCTGTAAATATGCAATATAATAACAAATTTTTTTAAGATTTTTTTATTAAATCATAGCTGTGTACATTAATGCAATCATAGGGTACAGTGTGCTTTCATATACATTCTGATAAAATTTTTTAAATGAAATAAAATTTATCTGCACTGGAGTAAAGGTCCTTCCACACCAGCGTCTTGTCTTGGGAGTTTTTCTATGAGGAAAAACTTTTTATTGCTCAAAGTAATGTCCCAAATGCTAGACTCAGAGACAGTGTTTAAAGGCACCGTACAAGAAACAGCAAAGCCCAAACACCACGTGGAAGTTTCTCTTTCGGATAAAATGATTGAGGTAAAAACTCATCTTTTGGTTGCAAATCCGCCAAACTCATAGGGGGCTAAGCAGGAAAGCTGCTCAAAGCTCTCAGCCAAGACATAGCCAAGGATGCGGAGGAAAGCCGCTCCCAGGAAACAGGTAATGGGCATTGAAAGAGCTTGCAGGAAGGCGACAGCCAGAGGCCTTTGCCCCTAAGATGGGCTCTGAGCCACTGACAAGAAGGGCCTGCCACACACAGACCAGCACCGCACTGCTCTGGGGCAGCATGAACAAGGTAATACCAGA